CCGCCAAGAGGCCGTGCGCAGCCTGACAAAGCGGTACAGCGTCCGCTTTCGTCGGGCCATTGGTGTGCGGCACCGCCGCAAGGCGGTGGTCCTCTGCACAAATGCTCCGGCGCCCAGAGGTGTTGCGATGCACAGGGACCCCGGCTGCTGGGCAGCGGGCTGCAGCAACGGGCTGCTGCAACGCACCAGGGCTCGAAAGCGCACGCACCTCGTTCTCGATGACAGCGGTGCGGTCGACCTTGTTGCGCCGCCGCTGCAGGATCTTGACCGCAAAGGTCTCGCCGGTCTCGCGGTGTGTGCAGGTGCGGACGACGCCTGCGGCGCAGCGCGCGGATGGGCAAGATAAAGGGTGAGGGCCACTCCGCTTGCAAGCAGAGCTGCTGTGTGACGGGCCTCCACTTGCAAGCTGAACTGCTGCACGGAACGCACGCCACCCCTCGGCCCCAGCCTCAATTGCTTGGACACTATGCCCCGCCCTCAATCCTGGCCGTCATGGGGCCCCAGCCTCTAGAAAGGCGAGCGCTGCAGCGGCCGCCCACCATAGGTGCCGTTGCCGAGGACCTCTCCAATGGCATACGTGTCCTCAAACCTCTCCGCCCGGTGGAGCGGTCGCTGCTGCGCGGGTTGCGCGATCACACTGTCCGTGCCTGTAGCGGTGAGCAGCGCCTCGAGGGAGGCCAGCTGCTGCTGCTGTTGCTGCTGCTGCGCGCTTGCGGACGTCGCCTGATGGGGCGCGACCGGCGGCGCCACGGACAGCGTCGCGCCCACGGACACGGAGACAGGCTGCGGACGCCTGGCAACAGTCTTCGGGCGCACATAGGCAGCCCGGGGAGCCGCCTTGTAGTGGACATGCGAGGCCGAGGCACGCTGGGTCCCCATGGCTCGCATACCTGTGTTTGAAAGCCAGGGTGGATGACATACATGTGGATATATAGGTTTTAAACGCCCATGTATGGCTAGCCCAGGTGCCTCGAAGGAGGACGATGGTGATGGTGAATCCACCCTGGGCCGCTGCGAGCTCCTCCGCGTGCTTACCCGTGCGGCCGCCCGAAAGAAGGCCCTGCACCACGGTCATCGTCTATGGTGCACGCGTAGTAGCTTTGGCGCGGCGTCTAGACCCGCTCGTCGCAAAAGAGTGTTCAAACGCAATCTGGGATTGTGTGAGCAGACGTAGTTAGGACTCTCCGTGTGGTATGAAGGCTTGGTACAATACAGAATGCCGCAGAGCGAAGTGCGAGCAACGTGGAAAGGCAAAAATCGGACGAAGCTGAAACTCATGCCTGATGACACACTCTCATCAGACAGCCAAGGCAGCCAACCGTGTTGGCCGGGCCATGTTTTCCTATTGAAAGTAACACTGGATAAGCAAATCTTGTCGATGTAGCTTGCTGGAGCCTTCCGAGGCTGGTCGGACACCTGCGAGATCCGCACTCGGAAGTGCAGGTGCATCACGACTTGGTAGACGGGCCTGTAGGCTGATATTCGGCATCAATGGCGTCCCAACGCATGACACCAGCCGAGCAACAGATCAGCCGTTTGCTTGGGCAGGTGCGAAAGCGCGCGGTCTGTGCATGCCTGCTGCTGCTGCATGTGCCTTGCGCTGTCCTGCCATTGCCACCGCACTTTGCCCCTCGCGCCCTTTCCCAGAAATGCACTGTTTCGGCCGCACTTGTGACAAATGCCGCAGCTGTATGAGCTGGAACAGAGCCTTGCGCAGCTGCAGGGCGGGCCGGAGGCTCAGGAGCTGCTGCGCTTGCGCATGTGCGTGGCCGTCTATTGCAGGGCACGGCGTTTGACAAGGGGCCGGCTGAATTCGCAGCTGTTGAAGCGTGCAAGCAGCCATCATCAACCCCAAGACCCAGTGCTTGTGTACAGCGAGCCTGCAACCTGCTGTGGCGCACTGAGCAACACTGAAGGTCATGCATGAGCCGCGGAATCCCCCTGGCCTCTGCCGCGCTCAGCGTCGCCACCCCTCCTGAGCGCCTTGACACCACACACCCCAAACACAGGGCGGAGCTGATGGCGGGCATCCAGCAGCTGCGGGAGACGGCGCCCCCCTTTGCAGATTACAAGCTGCCTCAGCCGGCGCTCAGGTCCGTTTGCACCTGGTTCCGCACTCTCTGCATGGCCGTTACACAGCTGGATGCGTCTCTGCCACAGTCGTGCACGAATGCGCTCCGACGCATGATCGCACCCCGCCCGCATGCGCCCGCCCCGCCCCCTCCCGCGGCCCCTGCTTCCAGGTATGTGGACGAAGGGGGCCACCCTGATGACTACGTGCGGGAGTTGGTGCAAACAGCGTTGCGCGACAACCAGGCAGGTGTTGCTCGGCCCGCGCGCCCGCACCGTGCTGGTGCCTCACAGTTGCGCTTGGGACGCCGACTGGTCGCTCTGTCACGTGGCTGCTGGCCTGTGCACACCTCGTTCATGCCATCTGCCAGCATCGTGGCCCCCTTGCCAAGTGCCGTTTTGAGTCCCATCATGTCCAGCCTTCAATCTGACTGTTGCTGCTGCCTCGCACGCCTGATCCCATCCCTTCATACAACTGCGTGCCGCCATGTGGATTGCAGGTGGCCAAGGGGCGCGTCCACGCGATACAGAGGCTGAGGGACAAGCTGCTTGCAGAGGCGGACGCCGCCTTCCCCGAGGTCACCGCCGCCTACCGCTCCGTGGCGTCCGGCCTGCCAGCGGCGGCGCCGCGGCCAAAGGTGGAGCCCGCGGCTTAAGCGTGAGGAGTGATGCGGTCAAAGAGCTGGCGGGCGGTGGCGGCGGGCGCAGGGGCCTGCAGGTGCTGCGGCTGCCACAGGTGGTGAAGCGAAGCTGCCACTTTGTAGCAGGCTGTGCCCTTCTGAATGCCAGGCACCTGTTGTACCTAGCAGGAAATTCCATTTTTACACGCCGCTCAATTGTCACCTTAGACGCTCAACCTTATAGAGACCTCATTCTGGTAGATATACCAGCCACAAGACCTTGGCGCAATCTGCAATGCTTGTTTCAGCTCTGTTGATGTGCGTTATGTGCTCCTGTTTGCAGCGCTGGAAGGCGACATGTCATGTTCCATTACCGTTTTGCACCGCGTCTGTTTTGGCGTCTCACTTGATAGGGTTGTTGGCAAATTGTTACCACAGCGCTACCACCACCAGCAGCGGCGGCGGCGGTGGCGGCGGCGAGCGCAGCGGGACCACAAGCAGCACCCGGCTGCAACGGATTGCTGTCGCTCAAGTCCACCAGCTTGGTGCGATGGCCGTCATCAGCGCGGCCCCCCTGCGGCCCCGTCTTGAAGCCATGTACGGCACAATTGTGCCACGGCACCTGGGGGGCTCGTCTATTGCCTTGAGTCTCTGCAAGCCCAAAGCAATTGTGGCGGGGACACAAGCTGATTATTAGACAAACTAGGATAAGGCTTCCAGGCGGGGCCTATGAGCGGATCACTGTGCTGCCTCCCTGCTGACCCACTGCCTCATGTGGCCAAAAGTGATGCGCAATGTCTGGTGAGCTGCTGTGCCCTGTGCCATGCCACCGCTTCCGGCCTTTTGCCGTCCTTCTGTCCTAGGGTGTGGAATCCACAACGAAAGGTGTGTCAGGCCTTTGCGCTTAACCAACAGGCTCACGTTGAATAACTTCCAGCAAATGGCCTGGGTTGTTGGAAGGGGGTCCGCTGGGGCGCAATTGCTGCTCAGCGAACGGCTTTTCATATTTAGAATGCTGCACTTGTGTCTTGCAGCTTGATATGCAAAAACTGGCTTACGGCACACTCCAACATTCAGCAGAATGAGGCAGACGGGCCCCCAGGTCCCTGCAGCTGATCAGCTCTACTGAAAACGGTGCACCACCATCAACGCAAGGTGCAAAGACATTCTGACGCATGAGAACAAAGAAGACCCGTCAACTTTGAATGCCCTCCACATCACCACACAGGTGTGGGGTTGCTGCGCAACCCGCCAAATGCCGTTCATCACAAAGCTGGACTGACTGCTGGCAGAACATGACCCCAACACTTCATGAGGAAGGGCCTGATACCTCATGCAACGATTTTAGTTTAGCAAGGGCTCATGGTTGTGGTCCCCCTGCAGAGAGTGGCAAGTGGGCAGAGTGGGGTGTCAAAAGGTTGGGGAGGATTGGCTAAACCCGAAGCCCGAGGAGACCCGGTGGATTTGTAGAGCATCACCAGAATAAGGGTGACGATGCCTGTGGCAGTGCACACTTCGAGCCGCCCCTGCCCCGCAACTGCCTAAAAATCATTCAAGGCAACACTCTGGGCCGCCCGCCCAAGCGTATGAAGAACCACGATTGCTCTCACCCTGTAGTCGATGGTGGTGATGGCGGCAGTCCCGACGTCCTTGGTTATCACCTTGCGCGCCGGGCAGCCGGGCTCAGTGCAGCGGAAGTAGCCCTTGGTCACGCCCTGGGCCTCCACCGCCTTCTCGCCGTACCTGAAAGGCGGGCGAGTCAGGGCGAGCAACGTTGGGTGCGTTTGCGGTGAGGCGCGCCGGATGCGGGGATGCAAAGGGGATGCATCCTCCCACCCGTGTCAAGGGGCTGTGGGGGCCAGCATGAGCATTTCATCGGTAGGAGGTTGCGCATACGGGCTCGCGCTGGGGCGTGGACCCAAAAGGAATTGCGAAGCGCGCAGCAAAATCACAGAGTGCTCTGAAGGGGATGACCGGCGCCCAAGCGTTGACCGGCCAGCTCACTTGCGCCAATATGAGCCGTCGTCGTTCGCGCTCCCACCCCTGCCGCGGTACCCTGGGCTGGGGGCGCCGTTGGGCCCCTTGTACTTGCTAGGGCTCGGCGCGGGGCTGGCGCCCTCGACAGCCGGGCGCTTGCGCGGCGAGTGCGCAGGAGACGAGCGCAGGATCCTAGGGGAGTGTGCAGGCGGGTGCGGCATCGCACCCTGGACTGCGGCAGTGGCCTTGACGGAAGGCTTGCGATCGCGGCCGCGCGCGCTGAAGCTTGCGGGCGGCGCGAGGGCGCCCGGCCGCTGCAGGTCGCCTGCAGTGTTTGAGAGTGACAGCGCAGGCGGGGGTCAGACGTGTGGGGCACTCAGCTCGTGGGCCCCGAAATCGGCTTGACCAGGCGCTTTGGATCCATCGTGGCGCTTGAGCACAAGCGGATCGTGTTACCAGGGAGCGACTTGACGACCCAGCGCTTCCGTTGGTCCATCGGCAAGTCGTCAACGGCGGGCGACGAGCAGCGCCCCTGTTCGGCGGCGTCCGTGCCACTGCATGGCGTGCCTGCCTCCTTGGCCACGCCGAGCAGGGCCCTCAGACGATCCATCACGTCCGTTATATACTCCAGGACCATCACAAAGCTGCCAAGTCGCGGCCCTTTGATCAGGTTGAGGTCAGCGGGTCGAGTGCTCAGTCACTCTATCATATGATGTGGATCAATCACGTAGCAGTGAGATCTGAACCCGGATGCGTGGAAGGTGAGCAGCAGCTAGACGTGTTGACTGCCTAGTGCCCCACGCGCCATAAAAGGCGCAGCCCACTCCCAACAAGCTATTATTAAACATCTGGAGTCTTCATCGTCGACCTACCAGTCAATTGCAAGGCTTTAATCCTCTCCACCACCTGCAATCAAGTGACCCCGCAGCAAGGTGGGTCGGTGCGGATCCACACCCATGCGGAAATAGCCCCTCACTTTGACATCGCATGTTTCACGGCGCTCGATGCCTGCGCGCTGCTGACCCAGTCAACCCAGTGCAGCCTCCAAAATCGTCGGATGGACCCCCGATCGGCTTTATCTGGCCCGATCAGGGTATCAGAGTCCATCTAGACTCACACTGGGTCCAACGCGTGCCGATGATGGCCGTGTTGGACGATGTTGACCAGCCGCTGACGTGGCAGCCTGTGTGCAGCGATGCGCTCAGGGCTTACACCCGCTTCACTTGCACTCTGATCAATCACCACTACCTGCAGGACCTACATCATCATGGGCAAGAACAGGGACACAAAGCAGCAGGGGAAGGAGGCCGCCACTGCGCCCGCGGCTCCCGCTGCAGCGCCCGCTGCCAAGCCCAAGGAGGAGCAGAAGAAGAAGGGTGGCAAGAAGAAGTAATCCTCCACCAAGGCTGCGCTGCGATTGGTTGATGTCCAGCCGGCGGCTCCCGCTCGCCTGCCCATAGTCAGTGCGACGCAATGCAGCTTGATGTCTCCCCTTTGCAGTATCGACAGCGTTCCGCGTTGTGTCCTTGCACATGCGACACGCATGCGCCAAGCAACACAACTTGCATGATCATGTAAAAGCATGGAGGCTATGTGCTGTCTAGGGCAGGGCCCCTGGCAGAGATAACTGAACAAAGGCATCAATGCAATGATTTATGCGAGCAGCCCTGTCAGCAGCATGCCCTGCAAGCAGCATGCCCTCGCTGCCAGCAGCATGCCCCAGACAAGCCCAGGCCAAAACACAAGTGCAGCACACAAGCCCAGAGAACAAATAGGGGCTTATGCTGATTGTACATGGCCACTTCCACAACACACGCAACCATGCACGAAATGTGCACACGCCACATGCACTCGCACTGGCTGGCGGCCGAGGTGCCGCATGTGCCTAAACAGCAACTGCCTTAGTCTTGGCTGCCCCTGTTGTGCAGGGCGGGCCTCCCCCGGGTTGGTGCCTCAGAATTGCTGTGCATGCATGTCCAGCAAATCTTCGCATGCGATGGTCCTGCATGCATGGCCATCAGGTCATGACACGGCATGGTCTTGCATGCATGGTCTGGCAAGGCTAGCAAGCAGATACAGTCAAATGGTGCATGCGGCACGGCGGCTTCAAGAGCCGAATACCAGCAGACACCCAGTTCCTGACCTCCGTGATGCTTTCTTTCGATTGAAGGCATGTTCGCCATAGCATTGTGATACCAGTACAGTACACATGCCTGCCATTAGCCAGGCATGGTGTGTATTTGGGACGACACGAGACACAAAAGGACCTGCTGTCGTTGCTCAGCTGGGCTTGGCCTGCCCTCGTGTTTGCAGATGCACATGGCCAAGTGGTGAACTTGAGTGAAGTTTAAATTGACATAAACCCTGTCAGCCCACATGATGGCCCACACTGACTGGCTTGTGCGCGTCCAATAGGTCACGCGCTGGCGCAGTGAAGTGCCTCAAGGTGGCATTCGTTGGCGGCCCTGGCCTGCACATCATCGCATCTCTTGTAACAAGAGCGTGTACACAGTAACACGGTTGCCTATCATGAGACGGGACCACGTCGTTGAATGCTTGTCCAGGCGCCCACCCCACTGGACATCAGGTCTGCTCGGCCTGACCGACACCCCCGTCTCGCCGGCTCAACTGCCGCCGGCTCACTCAAACAATGGCTAGCTGGGCCTTGCTCAGGCCCCAGCTGCCAACCAGGCACTGCCCATGCTACATCTCTGCCAAGAGCATCCCAAGCAACTGTGACCCAGGTGTGCCCAATGCGTGGCATCTCCGTCACACACGAACCTCCAGTCACAATCAACGTATGAGATGGTACATTTATGTTTGAAATTAGTAGGGTTGGCACCTGCGGGCGGAGTGTTTCTGGGTGGTGCGTGCAGGTCAGCTGGAGGTGACCAGGTGTCGGGTGGCGCCAGCAAAACTAGAGTGATCATGCGCACTATCGGTCGCATTTGTTGGTATAAAATTTTTCAGTATGTTTAAGATGCATCGTCCGCCGTATCAAAGGCTTTCGTGACCGGATGATGTGGATTACAACGATTTTGACCTGGTTGTGACGTATAACATCTCGCCGTTCGTAGCTGAATCGCCGCCGGAATCTTTAGCTACGTAAGTGTATCAAACATCATCAGCAGCCTACAACGCTTCAGCTGGTTGGCCAAACCTTCCAAACCAAGGTCTCTCTGACGAGCCTCAAGTGCCGGGCCGACATCGTGAAATGACGGAGGAAAGAGCGGTCGAGAATACCGCCAGCATGCACAGCTACTCTCGTCCCTTTGACAGGGTAGGTGTGATGGGCCGAGACCGTACGCTTTGCACTCACTACTGCAGCAGCACGCCGAAGTATAATCATGGATGTAACTCAATATCACTCACACCGCAGGCCACAGCGCTCTGGAACGCCGTGGGCACGGGGATCCAGCCCGTGCTGCGCGCCGCGAATGCGGTGATCCCGGCGCCGGCGCGCGTCGCCCCGCGCCCGCCGCGCCTGCCCCGCCCGCCCAAGCCGCAGCCCGAGACCTCGCCGCAGCAGCTGGACGCGATCCTCGCGCGCCTGGACGCCGCAAAGCAGGACTGGGTGCGCGTCGGCACAGAGGACCGCGCCGAGCTCCTCGGCAAGTGCCTGCAAAACGCGATCGACCTGGCCCCGCAGTTTGCAGAGGCCAGCAGCGCCGCAAAGGGCAGCTACGAGGGCGGGCTCGGCGATGAGATGTGAGGCCGGTTGTGGGAGGCGGGAGGGGTGGGGCACACAGG